GTAGTTATGTTGTTTCAAAAATACATCTTTAAATATTCAGAGATGTGATCGTCCAGTTTAAATCCATCTGAAATATTCAGCAGCCTGCTTCACCGATTATTCAAACGTATTGATCAGTGCTGTTCCATTACCTGCAAACGTTTACTGAATAATTACACGTGTGTGTGTGTGTGTGTGTGTGTGTGTGTGTTTTAGACTCACATCAGCGGGCTTCTGGCAGGAGGATGCTTTCATGAGGACTTGTCTCCCAGCGCTGAAGCCCTGCTTGATCATTTCTGCCTGGAAGGGAAAAGATTCAGTTTCATCAGTAAGAACACAGAGATGAGAGAGAGTGAGGTATTTCATCGGTGTAGCGTGTTAAAACTCACATGTTTCTGGACGTCGCCCCCGATCTTCTGGCTGAGGGACAGGTACTGAGCCACGGGACCGCTGACGATCACGTCAAAGGCCTCGACGAACGCAGAAACAGCTACACAGGAGAGAAGAAAGGGGGGAAAAAGCCTTTAGAGTTTAACGCTAACCAGGCATCATATTTATTCATCCTCCAGAAAAGAGCCATGAAAATCAAAAATAAGTGAACAAGCAGATAACCAGGAAGTCCTCTTTTCATCACACTGAACACACCTACATTAAACATGCAGCAAAGGAGCCACAGGTCAGATTCAAACCCGTTGTTGGTTTTTTTTTTTTAGATTTGTGTTGGTAGTTATCTGTTTTTATTGTTGGTGTTTAATCTTTACCTCCTCCAGAGACGTCTCCACCGGCGCTGCCTCCAGGGCCCGACATGGACTCCACACGACCCACCGCCATCTCCAGCCGCTGCACCAGACTCGCCAACTGATCCATAGCTGTGAGGTGGAGAAACACAAGTGGAGGATGAGGGAAAATAAAGACGCTTGTTCCTGTTCGATTTACACGTCAGCCACAGTGCCTTTGTTTTCTCAGAATTTAAATATCAGCAGCATCATTTTCTGGAGTAAAAGTACGAGTAACAAAGTCGGAAAATGCCCCTCTATAAGTTTAAGTCCTTTAAGACACAGAAATAACTTACTGGGAAAATCTCATGGTATTGCAAATGTAGATAACTTTCAAATGAGAGACTCTTATTCCATCCTCTAACACAACATGTCCTGATGAAGGTTTGACCGACTGATGCTCACTAAAGGGGGAGGACCACCACAGTTCAGATTCATCCAGAGCATTTCTTAAACCACTGCCTACACACTTCTACTGTTTGCACGCTCATGTGGAGGGTCTGCACCATTGAGCATCGGCCAAACCCTCTGAAGGTGTAGTGAGAGCGAGTACTTAAACCCCATGCACTGAACAACAGGTGTAACACCTTTTCATTGGTCGTCATGGGAGACGCTCTGCAGGCCACATCAAAGTGCTGCGCTGTCTTCTTTAAAAACATAATCTTTTAAATTAGTAGTATCATACACGCTTAGCGTTATAATCAGGGTCTTATTTGTGTTTTTAAAGGTGTTTATTTTACTGTGAGGCGTCTTATGTTTACAGGGAGTTACAAAAAACAAATCATCTTATAAACATCTGATTGATTATATATATTATTCGGTCTTCTTATTCTTTGAGTGACATTAAATCATCGTTATTTTAAGTTCCCGTTCTGCCTTATTAATTCCCTCCACATTAACGAAGGCTTCTCCATTCAGCCGTGGGTGTGAATCAGACGCGTGCGCGTGTGGAGGGAGCCGTTTAGGAAAGCCCATCATTTTTTTAACTAACTAGTAATGACACAAATCCTTTCCCACTTCCTGTTTGTCCCTCTCATTAAAGTTGTATCCTTTTCTTATTTGTCCTAATTGGGGACTGAATGTCTCCTGGGACAGAATGTGAGGAAATTACTGCAATTACACATTAAATGCTTTGGTAGAATAACAAACAGCAGAGTTCTGGACGCTGGGTAGTTCTGACCTTGATTTATTCCTGTGAGGCTCGACTGATTAGTGAAGCCGCCTGCTTTAAGACGTCAACACCAGGACTGTTATTTCAGTAAGTCACACGTTACAGCTTGATATCCTGAAGTTGATTCTTTTCTGTTCTCTTAATACACAATGTTAAGAATTATTCAAATGAAAGTTTACATTATGAGAGAAACACAGGGACGTTTACATTCTAGGGCTGCTGCCTGGTTTAAACGTCACATATTATACAGAATACACTTCATGTTTTTCTAACTCTAACATGCGTCTCTACTCTGTCTACAAACCCCCCAATGATGAGAAAAGTCCATCCTCTCAATCTTTTTCCTGCTCCACTTTTCAGAAAATGTGTGCTCAAACAGGCCGTTTGGAGATTTCCCTTCATGACATCACAAAGGGCGTTAACACCTCCCCCAGGTGGGTGACACTCCCACAGCTAGGTGTTAAATTGACACACCGTGTGTAATCATTACAGGATTTAGTGCAGAGTGTGCCAAATGGTACTAACAGAAGTAGTGAAGTGAGACACAGCAGGGATCACTTACTTCCTCGTTTGAGGAAACAAATAAGGGGAAATGATTTAGCATTTTATAGACTTTATACATATACATGAAAGAGTAATTTTTGTTTTACTTTATATTTTATTTCAGACCCATAGGTCCATATCATTATTTTAAAAAAGGCACAAGAAATATAAATACAAGTCATTAACAAAGGGATGTAATCACTACATTTCAGTTTGTCAGCAATTAAAATACAAAGAGACATTTTCACCAGAGTTTCCAGAAACACGAGGAATACCTTGTGTCACTTAGTCAGTACTTAAATATGTGCAGCAGAGAAAAGCTCTTTGGGTCCCTGTAAATGATCTAATAAATCCATAACCACTTAGTTGTTTTTTTAACCCCTATACTTAGGGACTATTTATTTATTAGATTTTTGTTTTAAAGTCATATCACAGCATAACGTTGTACGGCTGCAGTTTACACATCTTATTCAAAGTGATTTTGTGTGCATTAGTTTGTCAATAAAATTGTTATCAACGTTTCTTTCACAGACAAAGTCCACCAGACGTAAACAACACTTTTCTCTCTCTTAAGAGGCTCATTTCACCTCGTCATTAAAAGTCCTCAGTATACCTTCAGAGAGGTTAAGCAGCCAACAGAAGACGCAAACAGAGAGGAGAAAAGATAAAGACTACAGGAAGATGGGATGTTTGAAACAGGTCAGGACTTGCCGAGTTGAAGTGTTCAGATCATTCCTCGCTGCAGCTGACTCTGCACTGACCCGTCCTGTTATCCCAACTATGTCGTTTACAGATTCTTCTTCGCTTCACAACAAACTGACTTCACACTTGAGCTCGAGTCGTCCGTAAACATCCTCTCTGCAGTCAGTGGGCCAACATGTAAACTGATTCTCCTACCTTACCCTTTTAAGAAACAGATTAACAAACTTAATCCAAGTCTAGCATAATCTTACACACACATACACACACAGCTCAAGAGAGGGAGGCTGACGTTACATAAGACAGCTGTAACCCGACACCGCCTTCGTCTGTGGGACCGTGTGCCTCGCCGTCTCAGGTACTTACACCTGGCTCGCTATGAAAAGGGGGGGGGGAAACGCCCTCTCACTCTCACTAATGAAGAGCGCCCAAGACAAACCTGCTGCCACCGTCTCACTTTCTCTACAAAGCGACTCGGCTGAATGTGCAGAGATCTGATGGCGGTGAAAGTTTGTGGCGGGTGGCGATGAAGCTGGAGACACGTTTGTACGCAACTTCCTGGTTAGAAATAGCAGAAGTTGACGCATTTAGATCATCTTACTAGAATGAAAAAAAAGAGAAGGCCTGGGTTTAAGATATCTAAACTTGAGTTTAAGTGTAGATATTGGTGCCACAATCTCTGTCTTTTTTAAACTTTGAGCAGCCATGACATCTTTCACTCAGGCAGTGTGCTTGTGTTCATGTATTGTTTTTAACATTGAGCTTTTGTAAAAGGAAAAAATGGTTGACAAGCTCATCCTTTTATCAAGAATGGTTATACAAAATAAAAATTCTCTAAACAAATCTCATGCATATCTGCACTAGAATAACAAGAAGAGAAGCAAATTCCTCGTGATGGGAGACGCTGATGTTTTGTGCCTATAACAATGGTTTGAAATGTGACCTGGTTTGAGTTTCAAGTTGAGAGGACAACAATGATTTTCTCCATTTTTCTATTCAACAGAAGGTGGAGATGCACCGATTGGGAAACGCAGGGCAGATACCGATGTTTGTTTCATGACTTCTTTTGGTGTCAGACTCCCACAATGCAACATTTTCTCTCATGTTAGACAATAAAAAAACAAGTCAGAGTTTGTTCAAACCTCTTCTCTGAATCAGAAGTCAGGTGAACTAGATGTCAGGATTAAATTGATTTAGCACAACAAATAAACTGACATCAGTTCACATTATTTGCAGACGTGCTGATGTCTGTCAACGGGGCCGATATCGATGTTGAACCGATGAATCCGTAAAAGAAGGTCAATTTTTTTACAACAGAAAGAAATGTAACCTGAAGCTTTTTCAGAATGTGTTGTTTCACTTATCATCCACTCTCTGGTTTAATCCTCTATAGTGAGAGGACTTCTCGAGTTCTAAAATCAAAAAGAAGAAACTGCTGAGTTTAGTCAGTTGGGTACTCAAGTATTAGGGATGTGACCTCAGTACTTCTTGGCACTAAAAGATGACCAACACATTCACAAAGATATTCAATTCACCTTTTGGTGCAAAATGCAAAGATTCATAATATATACTTTTTAATTTATGTAACAACATGTTTTGTTTAGTTTATGTAATTGCATTTGGTGACAGTTGTAAAAGAGGTGCATGTCTTTTTAGAACACTTGAAAATGGGGAACCCCGTCTTTGACTTGATCAAAAACTTCAGGAGATAAAACAGGACTCCTTCTCAGAGAAGCTGTTTAAAGTTCTGTCTCTTAATATAGTCGGCACAACTGTCCACAAATGTCCCAACAAGCTAACCTGAGCTTCATGAGCAGTGTTTTCTTACCTGGCATAAACACAAGTTAGAGAAAACGTGCGAGAAGAGCCTGACGCTATGATCCCATGACTTCAGCATTTTACTGATGCTAACATTAAGCAGGTTGTTAGCAGGATAATATCACCTTAAATCAGGGTGAGGCAGGTTATGAATGATGTCAGCAATCAGGCTGTAAAGTGAAGTCATGAATATGGAATTATATCAGCAGCATTAAGACTGAAATAGTGAGGGATCCCATGTGCCAATCAGAAACTTTAAGACTAATAATAACCAACAAACAGTACTTTGTTTAAAAATTGAATTTTAAAGCACCATGTTGCATTTTTCCTGCCTCATTTATTCACTAATTGACATTTGTGTTGCTGAAAGGTCGTGTTTGTTTTTGTTGTGTCATGCTAAAGAGCATCTTTTTGTGTCTGTACAGGATGGGCTTAGTAATTCCTCCACAAGACGCAGGGATAAAATTAGATAAAAAAAGCAGGACACACACCCCTTCTACCCTTGACCTACATGCCTACATGTTCAGGACTGCAGCAGCGTTTACGGTTTACCTGCAGATACCAGAGTTCAACTTCTACTCTTTCTGGCCTCAGCTGTCGTGACTCATCGACAACACAGGAAGGGAGTGGTCCATTTAGGTGTTTGAGGGAGTGATAGACACACACACACACACACACACACACACACACACACAAAACAAGCAGTGAAATGTTCCAGTAGGGGATATCACAGCCTGTTCTCTCTTTAAAAACATTAATAAACTTCTTCCTGTTGAAACCCCTCCATGCGACACATTTGAACTTAGTGGTTTCCTTTCCATTTCATTCAGATGTTCAGATACATTTCCTGAAGTGCACTAAAGTTAAATGAACACAACATATGTCCAGGCCAAAACGCTGAGCTTCAGGGGAAACTCCACTGCCCCAAAAAACACAACTTTCCAGAGACATGAGGGCAGATACAACAATGAGTCACGGGGAGGAATCGTGCCTCTCATAACATTTTCCTAAAGATTATCCTTTAAGACCTAAATAAGGCAAGACATGCAAAACTGGGACGGAGGGAACCAGAGTCAGAGAAAAGTGAGTTAGCTGTGCACAGACCTGTACATTTACAGATAAACAGGGACATTCCTCTAATCAACAAAACCCCCAAAAGACCAAAACAAACAATTCACAATGCCAACATATACTGAGATCTGCAGCTGATGTATGCATCATTTATTTAGCCTTATTAGAGTATTAAAAAGGTACATTAAAATGGGGAATAGTATGTTTCTGATGATTTAAAACAATATATATTATATGTATTAAATAATAATAATTCTGCCACAGAGAAAGGAGGTTTTGATCATTTTGTGGTACATGTATATGTGGCCTTAAAACCACATTTATACAATCCTGTCAACGTTAAAACATCATCTTGCAAATAAACTAAGCACATAACCCATAACGTGTTTAAACCAACAAAAAAAAAAGAAGTAAATGTGTAATTAATCTTTTTTTTTAAGAATTGCATTCCTTTTTTTCTATGGATGCATTTACACCTGAAATCATTCAATCCTTTTACACTATGGTCTCCTTACTGCAATATACAAATCCATGCCAAGTGCTTTCAAATGCATACTTGTGCAGAAATGCACCATCAGCATGCAGGGCAGTGAAGTGGGTTAGGCCTGTGTGAGGGTTTCTGCCTCGGGCCGTTCAGACGAAAAGAGAAGAAGCGTCCAACTCGCCTTTTCTTTTTTAATATTTTAGCATTTAACAAGAATAAAAATCATTTATTCTTAATGCACAAGAAAGGGGAGGGGGGGGAGTAGGCCACAGCTAGAACCGTGGAGACAGCCCCTTCTTTGGTGGACTCAAAGCTCTCACAAATCAAGTTCAAGCCGCCGACGTTAACGCGATCACTCGGGGTTTTTCAATCAGACGGATGCTAACTGGGTAGCTAGCGTACGATGCTAACGCGGAGCCGGTGGGTGTTATGAGGAATTCTGCGCCCCGAGCAAGTTGATTCCCCGCCTGGCCAAAAAAACCCTCACACACATGTTAAACATCGATTAAATAACAGGCGTTGAGGAGGACTTTTGCAGGGTTAAGTTATCATAAAAGTTACATATTATTCCCCACTTGTTCTGGACTCGTTCACAACCAATCAGGACACAGTCAATGTGTAAAAAACACCCATCAGAGAGCTCGATCAGTGATTTTACTGTTTCCCAAAGCAGCAAATGAAGCTGCAACAGAGGTGAAATAGTTAGCATGACGTGTGTCAAATATCTCATCCCTGTTGTAGAGTGTGTTGCTGTGTCTTTGGGCATTTCCTGGATTCTCATTCTCTCTCTCACACACACACCCCCCTCCCTGTGTTAGCTAATGTTGCTTTAGTCTGCAGGAAAGAAAAAGAAGTTGCCACATAAAACAAAAAGAAGAAGTCTGAGGTTAAACGACGTGTGCTGGTGACGGCTAAGCTTCACATTTCAATGCTAACAGTGACTTAAACCTCAGAGCTAGACAGCCTGGTGTGATGTTAGCATGTTAGCATCACACCGGTGTTCATAAATACATTTCTGAATGCGGCGCGGCGGCTGAGCAGGAAGCGGCGACGCGCTGTTGTCTCTTTGACGCCCCAGCGGAAAACATTTATTTTTTTTTTTAACCCCACTGCAAACAACAAACAGCAACACCTGCACGTAGCTTACCTGCTAAACTGGCTCAAGCAGTGATTTGGTATTCAACAATGTGCCGTGAATCTCGCCGTGGGAGTGTGCAGTGTGTGTGTGCAGCAGGCTCGCAGACTGGGCTTCGTCTGTGCTTTTTTTTTTTTCTTCCTGTATGTCGGTGAATTTACCCAGCTGTCACCGCGCCGCGTTTCCGCCCTTGTTCGCGCAACTAATTCCTTTCCCATATAAGGAGTGTGAGAGGCAGAGGGCAGCAAAAAAAGAAAAAAAAAACATAAAGGGGGAAATGAAGAAGCAAGTTTTCCTTCCTATTTATGATATATATCTGGATGTGGCGGATACGTCATCATGCTGTTTAAATAGTGCTCAGTTTCATGCAGAGATAAAAAGTTATTAATAATGTATGTTTTTTGCGTGGAGGCAGGCAAGTGTTACATAATTACTGCTTCTGTGCAAACTCAGTGCTGCATGTTTCTTGTTCTCTATCATGCTTCAACATGTTTAGGTCTCCACTGCAAGGAAGCATGCTGTTACTAAAGAGGAGATTGAGACATAAATAAAGGGAGTCCCTCATGCAGAAGATTAAAGGTGCAAGAGTGAGAGAGTAAAAAATTGAGATGAGGCATTCAAAGGTGCAGCAGTGTGCCTTTTCCATCATCACTGTGACTACAGGGAGACACTGCAGAGGCTGATCCACAGTGCTGCTAAAGGGACAAAATAAGATGCGATAAAAATAAAAAAAAGGAAAGCATCAATTTCAGACATTAATTAACTGTAATTAACTAGGTAATGCTGACAGCCCTATTATTTCATGTTAAACTGTTGGGTTTTTCTGCACACTTTGGGACGTAAATGATGATCAGGGAGGATATGGCTCAGATTGTAGAGTGGGTCGTCTTCTAACCAGAAGGTCGGGGGTTCAACCCCCAGCTCCTGCAGCTACATTTCCGATGTGTCCTTGGGCAAGACTCAAACCCCAAGCTGCTCCCGCTGCTTCATCAGTTACTTCTGATGGTCACTTCTGAAACCTCTGCCATCAGTGTGTGAATGTGTAGGTGTGACCTGCGGTGTAAAAGCGCTTGAGTACTGTTAATTAACCCTTAATCAAACTATTTTATTTTGAAAGAATAATCCAAATCACTAAGATATTGGATTAATAAATATATAGAATAAAGAAAAGTTGCATTTTGTGCAGATTTTTCCTCCATTTAAAAAATGTAGCATCTATTAAAGTTGTTAACAAATGTTAATGATTAAGCGTAATTAACCTTGGACTAATTGTTTCAGCCGTGCTATAAATGTCCTAAAGTGAAATAACAGCCAGTTGGAGGAGGAAGTAATAAACGGGACTGAAAAAATTAAATGGGTCAAACATCCCGATGTGTTATTTAAAATCTTTGAATTTTCTTTAGTTGTACTTTTGACATCTTTCGACTTCCTCGCTCTTTAAACTTTTCACTGAGCTCTGCTTCCATCATGAGGTGAAATGACATGACCTTCATCAACACCAAGTGTGATGGACACCATCATCTTAAACAGCGAGTTAATGGAGCGTCAAAGGACAAACATCAAGCTCAATGACCGCATAAAAGTCAATGAGAAATCAAACTATGATGGTGATGTAGGACAGGATGGTGGCTCATTTTAGAGTTACTGCAACAATACATAACAAAGTGCTATCATAGTTTATAATGTGCATCCCCAGAGCTTTATAGTAGACAAGTACTAACAGAAGTTAGCACTCAGGTTTTAAAAAATAATGCCATTACAGTGCATGTAGGTCAAGTTTTGCATGAAATATTGACTATGGTGCAAATGCCAAATAGTTGCATTACTTCTTCATAAAAGGAAATGCTCGGCCATCTCATGGTATTCTAAAGATAAACTTCAAAATCTATTCTTAGCTAATCTTGCAGCATGTTCTTCCTCATTTACGGCTCCAAAACTCTAACTTCAGCATACTGTTTGTGTGTATATTATAGACAATGTGATCTTTTTGTAAGGTCACATAACCTTTAAAATACATCAGGATGTGGGAGGGAGGATCCAGTTTTTACCTGGACACATCGTCCAAGCATTAACTGGATGAAGTGTCGGAGTCAGATCATTTTTAAAACCACATCAAGAACAAACTCAAACATTTTATTTTCACTTACAGATTTTCCAGTTGCATTAGGTGTGCTCACACAGAATGTAAGGGGCTAATCCTTCACTAAGACCGTTTTTAAATTAAACTCTCTTCATTCAACAGTTCTCTCAGTGTTTTCTCTGCCTGCCTTCACAGTGGACTCCGTCAGAGTCGGGGGTCAATTCACATCTTTAAATTCCAAAAGTGACTGGAAATGTTGCACGTGTAACAGAAGAACCGCAGAGTTTTCTGTTGTCAATCAAGTACAGAATGATCACTGAAATGGTATTTCTAACTGTGAGGGGAAAAAAAGGTGTAAAAAGAAACAAGAAATGAGATTAATCAACATCAAGTAATTGCATTTTCTTTTCAAAAAGTAATATCCTATGATGTGCAAATAACAAGGGAAGAAAGTGACACTACAAGGAAGAGTTCAGATGATATTTCAAAGAATTGGCACTTGGGTTCACTTGGTTTTAAATTTGTCAGTTGGCAAAAAGATGGACAGATAAATTCAGTCAATCTAAAGGAAACAAATATTTATATATTATAGAAATCTCTGCCTTTGCTGGATGTGCACCGGTTGCTTTGACTGACATCAGCATGAGATGACTTCACGGTGAGAAAGGAACTTTTTTTTCTTAGTATTTTTTGCACAAATGTTTCAAATGATTTCTTATTTCACACAAGGTACAAGTTGAACCGTGTCAACGGCATACCCCCCCTTTTTTTAACATTCAGCAACCAAAGAAAAAAAAGTGACTTACAGGCCAGTTTCACATAAAAAGCAATCAGACTGAAATGTTGCAGGGAAAAGTCGGATGGTTCAAATTATTCCCTTCAGAGCAGACTGGTCGGGAAACGTCGCTGCCTTTTTAAAAAAAAAAGGAACACAGGTGCAGCTTTTTCTCTCTCTCCTGTCGTTACTGCACGTATTGCATCATGGTGCATTTGTAGCAAACATCCCCCCTTTAGATCTGACATTTGCTTTCATCCTAATTGTGGCAGATAAATTAATTTAAATAAAGATTTTGGTCAATCTGGATACAATTCATTTTCATCCATAATGTTATCTTACTGATGCCTGATTTCTTGTATATGGTTTGTCCTGATGTTTTACTTAATCCCTTTTTAAAAAAAAAATTTGAATTCCCTAAATTCAGCTAACTGAATATCTGCCAAAAGAAACCAACAAATAATTTTTCCAATCCTGTTAGAAGCCGAATCAATCCTTACTAGTTGCAGAAATCGCACACAATCAGCACTTTTAACAAGTTAAGCTTAACATTACGCTCATCATTCAAGCCTAAAGGTATGTAACAGTTACTGAGGTGCTCTTGGACTTGGATCTGCATTCATTCAGACTCAAACACGTCATCTCCTTTCACATTTAAAAATCAAGGAGTTGTCATATTCTATACATTTATAATGCAGTGAATTCCTGTTTATGGCTGAACCATCCAACTTTGACCCCTTTCCAACAAACAGGAGAGAAACTGAGCCCCGGAGCTGCGGGCATTAAATCAAAGTGCATCAGAATCACAGCCTAAAGGTGGTTTGTGAAGAAATCAAAAGAAAACATACAGTGGTCTTCATGTTTCAAGCAGTTCATGAATATCGAGGTGAGAGAGCGAACAATGTCCAGTCCATCCAGTTTCTTGTGTTGTGAGCGTCTCCTCATTATCGCCTCCCCTGAGACCAAACTCATCAAGGTTGTTTATTCCAGTGTGTTTCCAGCGACTGAATCCAAAGCGAAAGCCTTTAGAGTGAAAGCATGGGTGCGTTTCTGTTTTTTTAAATTAAATGTTACCTGTGACTGCCAACTTGTTTATAACAGAATTAAAAAAACATACAAACTGCTCTGAAGAAAGACACCACACATACACCCATCATACGAACATGCAGTCCATCATTCCAGTATCTGTCACTCTGCATGCACATTTCTTGTTGTTTTTGTTTTCAGTTCGTAGCTCTGTTTTGGTTCAAGTCACCATGTATAGCAGATTTCTTAAAGAGTTCATCGGTATCAACATGGCAGTGTTTGGTAGCATCACGTTGACCTGAAACGGTGTGAAAACGACGTCTTGGTGCGCCACATGCGTGTGTCTACAAAGAGGCAAAGGTGTGAGCGTGACATGTGGCTGGTTTTTTAGTGTCGCTGAAGCAGAGAGTGGCATCAGGAAGAGGGGCGACAGTACATTCTTTATGTCTCTGTGTTAAATAAATCTGTGTTGTTTTTTTTTACTAATCAAAACACAGTGCTCACCCCTTTGTTTCCAGCAAAATTGTGTTTTTTCCCCTCCATATGGGCTCAGTGTGGGAGCAGGGTTAGTTCAGTGTTTTTTTCTGGGACTGAGGGACAACATGTGTCCAGTGTGTTTTTTCCTCTCCTTCTCCTCCAAAATCCCAGTACACAAAGTTCGTCTCTACGAAGGAGAGGTGTGAGGTGTTTCTTGTTGAAGAGCAACAAAAGTGAAACAGACAGAGTGAGGAGGAGGAGGATGTGCGTGTGTGTGTGTGTGTGTGTGTGTGTGTGTGTGTGTGTGTGTGTGTGTGTGTGTGTGTGTGTGTGTATGAGTGAGGGCAGCGGCGAGGCTCCCCCCCTCCTCCCTTGCTATAGCAGCTCTTCTCTCTGCTTTTTGCCTCTCACAGGACCCTGGCCGTTCCTCAGGGAGCCATTCTGGGGCCTCAGGAGATGCCCGCGCTCCTGCTCTGTCCACGGGAACCCGCCCTGCCCGTCGTCACTGTCCAGGTCTGAGTCCGAGTGCATGAGGGCGGAGGAGGTGGGAGCGGGGACTGGCTTCAAGCGGACTGGAAAAGCAGGTGATTGAAGAAGCAAAATGTCAGAATAAGAAAATGGTAACCATTGAAACAGGTAAAATATTAAATTCACTTTGATTCTACTACAGGACCAATTTTAAAACTTGAAGAAGAGCATCACTCCTCGTCTCAGCTTCTAGACGGGAGGAGTGTAGATCAGTAGGAAGTAGTTATCGTGTGTCTGTGTGCGTCTCACCTGCTCGAGATGGTTGAAGCTCCAGACTGTCTTGCTCATCAGCTTCGAGCATTTTGTACCTGCTTTTGCTTCTTCGCACTTTGCTTTTACGCCTTCCAAGGAAAAAAAAAAAAAACCAGGCCACACCAGATGTGTCATCAGTAAGAGCTGATACAATACAATACAAAGAATTATAATAATGGTGTGCTGATATTTGTCAAAGTCCAAATTACAAAGCGTTTGGCGGTATGTCTCAGTTTAACTTACTACTTTTAATTAGAAACTTTATTTTACATCTTGTGTTCAAAAAAACAAAAAAACAGAAGAATATTTGATACTTTCAAAATGATGCTCACCTGTTGCAGCAGCACACCATCCCCCAGACAAGCGTTGCTATAGCAACCACAATCATAAAGGATGCTATAGTCACATAGAGTACACTCCATTCTGAAAAAAAACAGCATATTACTGTGTTATTACTGTATAGTGCGCAACATGTTAGGTATGAGAACCAGATTATACTGGGGGGGAGTGGGGAAGGGGGGAGTGGGGGAGGGGGGGACGCAGGATAACTCATGATACGATATCATTGGATGCCATACGATGCAAATGTGACATGTGGCCGACGATAATGATAACATCATTATACAGAGAGTCTCAGATAATTTATATATTGAAAGAAAATTCTATACTGATATATCACAACATCTGATTTACCTGAAAAATATAAAAAGGTAAAATTAAGAATTAATATATCGATTCACAGATATTTGGTGCTTCATCCTTTAACTTCTTATTAACGCTGTCCAACATTATCCCGCTGTCAACTTCTTCTTTGGCCAAATAACTTCTGTTTATGTTCCCTTCATTTATTTCATAAGCTTCACAGAGAGGAGTCATGAAGTAGTGATGCAGTGACTCAAATTGACAGAAAAATAAATTATATTTTGCACCAGCAATTTGATAATTCACTCGAGTCAGTACAACAGTATGGCCATATCAGTATTCTGTCCCACCCTCATTATTTATGCATGAATGTATGAGGAGCTTTAGGCCATATGAGCTCTGTTGTAGTGCACGGGAAAGAAAAAAAAAAACGGTAATCTCACCACAGTTGCTTTCAGCATCTCCAAGCTGAGCTCTGATGAAATTCTCCATCCAGAACGGGTGGCAGACGCAGCGCCGCGTGAAGGAGTCACACTCACCGTGACCCGAGCAGTTTAACTGGCAGACTGAAGAAGGAAAAACAGCAGACAGGGTGACGCGGATTAAACTAGAGCTTAAATATCCCACGGTGGTAAATTCAGTCTACTGTACAGCACACACACATTAAACAACAGAAACCTGCAATAGATGCCCTGATTAACACATCAGTGTACAGGTTTCAGAAGAGGCAGAAAGGTAAGATGTAAGATGTAGAAACAGATTAAAGATCTTAGACATTTGACCTCTGACTCCTCTTGTTATCTGACCATTTCATTGGATAACAAAGGTCAAGATGTCAAAGCAGCTCTGCTCTCATGACCTGCCTGTTGCTTGTGATTTAAAGTGAACATCCAGAAAAGAATCTGAAAAGACGTTTTGGAATTTAACTGCAAAGCCTTTGATATACTGTACTGTGTGTACAGCAACATGTGCTTAAAATCAAATCTTATGGGCGCTGGTGGCCGAGTGGTTAGGGCGCACGCCACATGTACAGAGGCTGTGGTTCAAATCCGACCTAAGGCTCCTTCCCTGCAGGTCATTCCCCACTCTGTGTGTGTGTCTCTGTTACAAACTAAATCCATCTGATACTCACTGACTGTATCCACCCGTCGGGCCTTAAAGATGAGGAAGTCATTCTTCTGTTTGCGCAGTTTGTTGCGAAGACTGAGTGCAACACTGTGGCCGGACAGAGGGGGGCGCCCTGGCCCGCCGGACACCAGGAAGACCAAACGAGTACTTTGGATGAAGAGAGACAAAAAATGAAAATCAGGTTGGGGTTATAACAAAAACAAAAGTTTAAGGATAATATGATAAACATTCAGCAGATTTTTCTCTCTCACCTGTGCTCATTAAACGCACTGATCTCTCGCACGATGATGTCGCTGTCGAGCACGCCCAGTAACACCCCGACCTGGCGCAGCAGCATGTCTCGCTGACGGTGGGAAACTTGGGATACGCCGATCTCCAGCACCAACTCCACCAGGTCACGCTCCCATATGTCTAAAAAACAGGAAGAGAGAGGAGAGACAGGTGAGATTTAAACAGAGAGGAAACACAAACGGGGGGGAGAAAGATGAAAGAGGTTGATTGTAGGGTCCATCTGACACTCTGAAATCTGGGAAAGAGGCCAGAGCACCAAGTGAAGGATTAGTTCCTGGCAGGGATCGTGTCTGTTCACCGTATGCTGCAAACTGACCCGCTCAACCTTCTGCTGTCGGCTGCTGAGTCTCTGGCTGTGATGAAACCATTTGTATGCACGGACTCGTTTAAAGGGAGAGTTATCCTCTAATGTGTCTTCGGAGATGTCATGTGTTAAAAATCTGTAAATCCTCAAGTCTGTGCATGTTGTTTTCACTCTACCTGGTTTGACCTCCACGCTGCCTCTGTCAATGCTCATCTGTCCTTTACTGTCAGTTACAGTCAGGGTGAAGCTGTACTTCCCCTCCACCAGGTTCCCAAGAAACAGCACAGCCTGGTGGTCAGAGTTGTTCAGTACATCCTGTTGAAAAGGAAAAACATGTTTCAAGGTGTTGCGAGGGGAATCAGCGTCAAACAACAGTTTATTTGTCATATCCGTTCAAAGCATCGACACATCAGCTGCTCTCACCCCAGCTGCAGGACTGCTGTCATCTCTGGTCCACAGGTAGCTGACTCCACCTTTGTCATCAGTGGAGTGAGATCCGTCCAGAGAGGCGGTCCTGACGGGCAGCGTGATGGCTGGACTGGATACCACATGAGCTAGTGGAGGCTGGTCCAGTTCTGATAAATAGATAAAAACATTTAGAAAGGGGTGCTGGTGGCGCAGTGGTTAGTGCGCACGCCCCATGTATGGAGGCTGTAGTCCTCCAAGCAGGCGGCCCAGGTTCAAATCCAGCCTGTGGCTCCTTTCCCATGTCATTCCCCACTCTCTCTCTCCCTGATTTCCAACTCTATCCACTGTCCTATCTCTCCATTAAAAGGCACAAAAAAAGCCCAAAAATAAATAAATAGGAATAGAGGTGGATCCAGGTACAGTAAATAAGAGTAGAAAATGTTTAATAAAATGTCCAAATTGTTACAGCTGAAAACTTATATTCTGTATTGACGACTGTCTTCCATCAAGTTTTTCCAAGTACCGGATAAATCACTTTAAAAAAAAAGGTACACCATGAAAGCCATCAAAGCTTTGCATGCATTGCAAGCCATGCAGCTTCATAAACTCCTCAAAAAAAGTTTGTAAATGTTATTTCGCTCAGTTATTTCACCCCTTTAATAAACCTAATTAGAGTTGGATTATATATCGTTGGAAAGCCTGATTAGTCACCTTTACAATGAGGTATAACTTGTAAGGATCGTGCATTCTTGGAATGAGCAACACAGCTAAACGTGTGGGAAGCGCCCCAAACAAAAAGTGCCAAAATTTTGGAAATATTTGAAATGAGAGTTTTGACTTTGAGGATCATTAAAGAGGAAGTTCCTTCATATTTGGAATAAATGGATCAAATTTAAAACTTGAACATAAACACAATTTGCATTATAGAATGTACGTGTCGTCACATTTTAATCTCAAAACATCAATAATCCTCACCTGCCCGGCTTCAATCCCTGTGTGTTATTTCACTAAACAGAAGGGGATTATCACACACACACACACACACACACACACACACACTTATCTCCTAACCTTCTCTGACGATGACAGAGACCATGTCGGTACTCTGCAGGTTTCTCTCATCCGTCACGGTCAGGGTGAACTCGTACGTGCCAACCTCGAGACCTGTCACCGTGGCAACAGCACTGTCTGCATTCTCAATCTTCACACCGTCTGGACCCCTGGTGTAAAAAAAATAAAAAACAGAAACACAGAGCATGAGAGAGTCTTCACTGAACCAGGAAATATAAAACCTGATGACGGTGATCATCGTGGTGTGATGGAGTTGTTGTTTTTTTTCTTTTCTTACAGATGATTAATGTGTTCACAATAAAGCTTTCTAACTGACTTGGTTTGTATCCAGTGGTAGGTGGAGATCTTCTGGTCGTCCTTGCTCTTGCTGCCATCCAGCGTGGTTCGGTCGACAGGCAGAGTCAGCTCTTTCTCTGGTCCTGCGTCAGCTACCGGGGGCTTATTGTTTTCTTCAGGACAGAGAGAGTGAGAGAGGGACACCAGGGTGAGGAAAGTAAAAAACACCTGACGCAGTTAGATAAAGGTCAAGGTGAATTATCCAGAAAGGCAAGGTCATTTTTGTTTCATATAATGTTAAAAATGTTTTTCAAAATGTAAATCTCTGTCAAATTTTGTCACTTCCCAGCCACCGTACCTGAGAGCATGTGAGCAACGAAACGCTGGCATTCCTCAAACATTTCATCACTCAAACATTTGACCTCCTCTGACCTTGCAGGCAGATTTGTGTTCACAAAACGGCTCCTGTTCCAAGACTCTGAGACCGTCACACCAGCATGTGTGTGTTTGCTCGTCTGCAGTCAACACAAGCTGCTTATCAGGTGGAACGAACACGTGCACTCACTTTTACCTTGCGGTGTCATAAAGGTGTGAAGCAGAGTGTAGGTATGCAAATAGATTTTTTTTTAGTCAGCAGCTTATGTCTGGACAGAAGCTTTAAATATCAGAGAGGGTAAACGATGTGCTCTTAACACTTCATGTGAGTATTTTTTATGGAGGCTAATGGAGATCTTTAAGTGCACACAGCTGAACAAATAGATGTAAAACCACAAGTCAATAATATGATAATGGGACAGTGATAGCTGTAAAGAGCTGTAAATCAGGCCATCTGCAGCTGATGCAACAATTACTCCCCTCAGGGTTGCACAAGTGGCACAAACAGGACTTTGTTTATCTGTCTACCTGGTTGCACAATCACGGTGACCTGGGCAGTGTCCTGCTGTCCAGACGAGTCCGTCACCGTCAGCTGGAAAGTGAAGTCTCCCTCCTGCATAGCCGACAGCTGCAGGATCGGAGTCCGCACGCCCTACAAAAAAAACAGGAAAAGATATCCCTCTTAATCTTTACTCTTATTATTAAATTAAACTGAAACATGAAGAACTTTGTAATAAAGCCTGAGTGTCTCACCTGCATCTCCAACACCTTGTCTTTGCTCTCAGGGCTCAGGGACCACTCATAGGACAGAGAGTCGTGGTCGTCGGTGCTTTGGTTGCCGTACAGAGAGATGGAGTTGCGCGGCAGCTGGATGACCTGGATTGAGTTAGAGAACAACAACACATATCGGTTAGAAGGAGTGAGCTAGTTTGGGAAAAAAATAAACAATTTCCTGCAGAATCATGGAGACAGGAAATGTTTCAAACCTGGTTAGGGCCTGCGTTGGCTACAGGCCGGTAGTCCTTGGCTTTGTTGACTGAGAGGGTGGCCTGTGTTGAGTCTTTGGCTCCGTCTGAGTCTGTCACTGTCAAGCTGAGAGAAGGCAGTCGTTACAAACAAGATCAGACTGTAATTCTGTTAACATAACAAACAATTCACCTAAACAGGCAATTAAATCAGAAGTTTGATATATTGTTTCTTAAAGGCTTTATATGCGCCCTTGAGCACCAGCATGAAACCAAAACAACTTGCGGTGCATTGTGGGTTAGCATGCTAATGCTAGTGATCTTTATTATGCTGGTATCTTCACACTGCATGTAAATTTACCTGAAATGAGCTTGATCTAGAAACACAGTTAAGCAGTGAGTACAGTATGTTATTCTTCTTTTCTCTAGTCCCTCAAATAAACAACTTTTATACACGAGGGGAGGAGTCAGCCGTCTGTCCTGACGATGTAAACAAACTGAAGATAGGACTTTGAAAGCATCACAGACAGTGGGACTCGGGTGTTACACCCATTGTAGACAGTCATGACTCACAGAGTTGTTTTCAGAGGAGATACTTGATGTCTATTATAAGTGTGAAAAATAGCATATAAAGCCTTTAAACTGAAATCATCTCCTCCTGCTCTAAAGACTGAGGTCCCCCCCGTACCTGAAGGTGTAGTTCCCAGGCACCAGACTAGTAAGGGTGAGGACGGGGGTGTCAGCAGAGACCTTCTCTTCCCTCAGGGGTCCTTTAACCTCCTCCCAGTGCCACGCCACCACCTTGTCATCGTCTGTGCTCTCTGTAGGGAGGAAGGCAAGAGGACACAGAGGAGTTATTTAATATAATGAGCCTACTTGTAATTTTTTCATCTGGTTAAAAGGTCACATATTATGCAAAATACACTTTACCATGTTTTTCTAACACTAATATGTGTCCCCAGTCTTTGTACAATTATTTTAAAAAAGTCCACCCTTTCCCGTCTTTAGCCTGCTCCACTTTTCAGAAAATGTGTGCTCAAACAGGACGTTTAGAGATTTTCCCTTCATGACATCACAAAGGGCAGTAACCCCTCCCCCAGGTGGGTGACAGTCTGCTTTCTCACTGTAAACAATAGGACATGGAGCGAGAAAGCCCGAGCTACATCCCCTTCCAGAGAGGGGGCGTGGTCAGACACAGCTCATTTACATATTTAAAGGTACAGACACAGAAACAGCCTGTTCTGAGCAGGGCTGAAATAGAGGGGTTTATAGACATGATCAAATACAGGATTAGAGTGGATTTAGAATAAGAAACTTCACAGACATGTTTTGGGGAGCTCTAAGACTTATTTACACTTGTGAAAAAGGAGGATAATACGTGACCGTTAAATGTTTGTACATGTGTGTGTGTTTCTCATGTGGGAAACTCACGGCTGCCATCTATGACCGTCGAGCTGGTTGGCAGGGAGATCTCCTGGTACTTTGGGGAAACCACGGCAACAGGAGGCTTGTTTACCCGAGGCTCTGTCAGGTGGAAAACAAGAAATGAACTCGCTTGCTGAGCTGTAAATGAGCCGAGGCTTGTGCACAGTTTGCACAAGTCAGCAGCTACCTCCTCAGCAGAAGTCAACAAGCATGACTGTGTGTGGGAGGAATGCTGCCTCATCCTCCAGCAATGAGATTTAAGATTGCTCTGTGAAAATTTCGGCCAGACTGTCGATTCAGTCGTGATGATTTCATGTTACACAATCTGATCAATAGGAAAGAAAACACCACTAATGATGACACATCACTGTCTGAAGACCTTCAGTTAGTCACTGTTAATATCAAGATGCTAATTACTAAACACATTGAAATATGATCTCACATCATCAACATCAACATCAAAAGCTTACTGCACCTATTAGGAACAACCATGACAAGAAGAACGTGATCAATTTTGAGGCTCTAGGTCGCCCAGTCGTTAGAAACTTATCACTTTCAAACTCTACCCAATGTTTGCCGCATGTCATCAAAATCTCTTGAGGCATTTCCCTGCAGGCTCCGACACATCTCAGAAGTCAAATCCAGTCAATTTTATGTATATAGCCTCAGCCTTATACCACAAACACCACAAATCTAGCCTGAAGGAGCTTTATAGTTTATACAGTGAGAGACTCTCACACCCTGAAACCCGGATTAAGATAAGGAAAAGCTGCAGAAGAAAAAAAAAACTTAAGCCAGGGGAAAAAAAAACGAAAGGAAGAGTGACAGAGGAGGGATAGATGTTTGAGAACTGAAAGAAATGCATGGAGAACATGTGCAGAGAATACAGAAAAATAGAAAATAATCATATGATTTGATACGTGAAACTGCAAGATACTAAAATACTATCTTCATTAATCTTTGTTTTCCAACCCTAGTCATAAAAAAAGGTTTTTCCTAGACTGGATATAGAAGATATTGTCTTACATTTCCTTTATTTTATTTCTACAGAAACATTAGAGTTGACATTAGAGTAGAGAGACCCTAAGGGGCCTTTATTTATTTAACCAGGCAGGTGATTAAGAACAAATTCTTATTTACAAAGACGACCTGGAAAAAGACATCGGTGAATGTTGGACCTTACCTGGTTTGACTGTGACATTGACGTAACCTTCTCCGTGGGCCCCCTCCCCGTCCACTGTCACCTCAAACTCATACAGGCCCACAGTCAGCTGAGAGAGAGGAGAGAGCAAATCAAGCACACAGAAGAAGAAGTAACTACTGAAACTGTTTATAAATCAATGAATCAGCAGCTGTAGGTTTCACATGTAGCAGAGCTGTGTTTCATACCTGGCTTAGTTTAAGAGTCGTGCTGTGCTTCCCTTCCATCTCCCCGCTGTAATCTTTGGGATGAGTTTTCAGAAGCCAATCAAATGCATAGTTTGTTCCTGTCAAAGAAGAAAGCGACATTATAGAAAGTACATTAATCAAAAACCGCTCATGCAGTTAATTAAAATCTATCAGATTATTTTGAGGTTGAGGGGTTTTTGTATCGTTTGGAGCCTCTCGAGGACGGATCAGGGGATTAACTAAGTTATGACGTGCAGTCCTCCTCTCAACTTTATAATCTTTAAGAAAATACAACTGTCAAGCAGCTGGAGCTTCAAAAGTAAGTCAGCATGCTAAAGTAAAAGAGTTCTGTGTCATATACTCTGGGAAGCATCAGAAAAATCAACCTCCTGTCTCATGGCAAAATCCTGCTACATGTTAATGACAGTTACAAACAAGGCAGCTTCTGGGTAATTAACCTAACATGTCCATGGTTTTTACCTTGAGGGGGCGTAGGGACGACAAAGGCGTTGAGTTCGACCGTGTTTCGGGGCAGCGTCACCTCCACGCTCTCTCCTGCCGACACCACCAGCTCCCTCACTGAAAATAAAACAAAGGATCAGAGAGTGTGCCACAAATGATATCATTACAAGACGGACACTGGTCGGAGCACAGGAGATGGAAAAATGACAAACATTAAGCCAACTTAATAGAGCAAAAAAAAAAAAAAAAACCCTTGTATGTAAAAACAACTTCTTGTATATAAGGAGCATTTCCGCTCCTTATATCATATTTTCTTGGTTTCTAGGTTGTTTGTGTAACGTGGAGAGTTTTGGAGATTTGAATAGAGAGTGTAGGATTGGTTTTATGATGAGGAGGATGAAGTCATACAGTCCTTTGAAGCACTTTGTAAACCTGTGTTTTTAAAGGTGCTATATAAATAAAGTTATTATTATTATTATGTAGCTTTACAAGATATTTTCACATCTTTTCCTTTTACAAGCTTTCTTTTTTTCTGCGCAATGCACTGAACTGAATGAACTGCTTTTGTGTTATTTTCTTGTGGACTGAATCCAAAGCCAGACTGGAACGCTTTTCTTCGGTCTCTCTTCCTTTTCTTGGAGAATATAACCAATTTAAACTGAATGGACTCTGTATGTGGGGCTTTACTGGTTGTTGCTGAGTGTTCTTGTTACTGTTTGGTGTGGGTCAATGTTGGGTTCTGAATAAGTTCTGCTTCTAAGAACCTTTGTATGCTTGACATTTTTAATTAAAAAAGATAAGGACTCGCAAAACCCTGACTTACGTATTGTTAGTCTCAAAACCTCAATGTGAAGCTTGATCCAAAGGCAACTGGACTTAAGAGAAGATACATTTTATTGATCCCCCCCCAGAGGGATTTTTTTTCTTTAACCATATATCTCAACCAGCTCTCTTTCACAGCCACACACCTCACACACTGTCAGTCTTTAGCTGTGGAAAATGCAAAAGTGGCTGTTTCTGCAGTGATTCTGCAGCATGATTCACTGAATCTGATGTTAATCTCAATACTGTCTGTTTCATAACTGGTTAAAATCTCAACACAGGAGCTCTGAGAAAGAAACACAAATTAAACTGTTGAACTGTAATTTAAATATTGCATCTCAACAGTTTCTATTAACGAGACCCTCCAAGCCAGCTATACACTTAAAACAATATGTAACTTGTTTCACAACAGACTTTCCATTTTAAATATCTGTGATTATTCAATTATCGGGGAAATTTTCTCAGACTTCACGGCATCGTCCTCAAACCGACAGGATATTATGCAACTGTTCTTTTCACACCTCCACATGACTGATAAAACTGATTACAATGTGTCAAACTGATGCACCTTTGTAATCAAACTAAGAAATGCATGTAGTAGAAAAAGAAACATGAGTGAGACGTCGTCCTCTGTCAGAGTAACTGGGTCCTGTTTCTGACAGTGTACGCTGCTCATAAAACCGCACGCTGACCTTTTTACACTGCTTGTGTCGTCTTACCTACCAGCTCAGTGTTACTGTTTGCTCGAGTAAATCCATTGTTGGGCAAAACAGCTGAAAATATTTCTATCTGTATAATGACATGCATTGTTTCTGTGAAGTGCTGGAGGAGGGATACTAAAAGTGATCGTACGAGCTATTCCTGTTTGTAGAAGCCCTGGATGTCTCAGCACATTCCTGCAGATTACAATAACCCTCATCTCACTTCACACACCCACAGCACATGATGCTTCCATCTGGAAAAATAACAGCGGAGCAGCTCGCCATCAAATTTGTGGGCTCGTTTTTTTTTCATTTTGTTGGTAATAAACTGAAGCAGTGGCAAAGATCAAACAGTGAGGAATCTTTTGGAAGAATTAAAGGGCGTGCAGCAGCAAAATTCAAGCTTTTGCACACTCCCCTTCTTTTCACACTCCTGCACAAATCTGCAGCTCTCTTCATGCACCAGATTGACATAATTAACATATTAGAGATTAAATCCTTCTAGTGTTCATTTGAATCGAAGCACGTTTCTCTTCAGCAGGAGGACTAGTGTTCTTCACGGCAATAAACCCTGATTATGAGCACAAAGTACAGACATGTATGTGAGGCAGCTCTAAAAAGGGGGATGAGTCAAATATTCCTTCAAGGCATAAAAAAACAAAATGCTGCTACATTATAAATGAGCTGATAATTAATACATGAAGACATATTACTGTACAACCCAAAAATAGGTGATCTCTGTCTGAGGGCATGAGGTTTCCATCCTTACCAGCCTGTGTTGGAGCTGGGGTGACGGCGGCTGCAGTCGCTGTGGTTGTGCTGACTTCACTGCTATTGGAAGACGCAGCAGTGTTAGCGGTGTTGTCCACCGTTGAGTCCTGCTGGGGTTTATCTGCAGCGGTGTCTGCACTCCCGTTGGCTGTCAGGCTGTGGTTCTTCTGGGCTGTTTGGTGATGTGCGAGGGCGCTGGGTGCGGTTGGAGGTGAGGGAGCTTTTTCAAGTTTAGGACTGTCCTGCATGGTTGAAAAAAAAAAAAAGTGTCACTATAAAGATTTGCATACTACAATAATTGCCTTTTCTGATTAGTGTGTTTGCAATAATGAGGGTGGGAGGGATTTAAGAAGAGTGACAAAAGAAAAGAGAAGATTTAGCTGGCTTTAGCTTAGTGCTGGCGCATCAGTCCAACTAATGAAGAGAATCTACAACAAGCAAACAATCTTCTTGAAGTTGACTCATCCTGTGTTGTTACCGTGCGGTCGGATTGTTTGTTGTTCAGTCCTTGGTTTCCTGCAGTCTGTAACTGAAGAGCTCTCCTCTGTCTCCTTAAGACAGGACCCTTAAAAAGGTACCATAAAGAGAACAAAATAATTATAGAGAAATATTACAGAAATAACAATATGTGTAATTAAACTCTGTTACAAACTCAAAAATCAATTCCAGTGCTCTTTAATAAAGTCCAAAATCTGCATACTACACCGCCTGGAAATCCTCTTTGATAGGAATTACAGCTCGCTCTGTTTGCAAGTAAATCCAAAAATATCTAAATTTTTTATTTCATGACTAACATTAACACAAATATACACATTATTTTGATATATCACCTTTCAAAATCCTGAACCGGTACTCATAGACCCTTGTTGTTGTTCATCATTGGATCTTGTAGAACTCACGCATTAGTGATTAAACAAAGCCCCCTTTTTACTACTCATACACCATTTGTCTAAGGCTCTTTTTCCACCAAGCTGTGCCCACCTGTTAGCAAATGGAACTCGACAAATCTAAGGCAAGAAGTTTGAATTTCATTGTGTAACAAAATGCCAAAATTCTGTTCAACACTTCAAACCAGAGGAAGAATCTTCCAGTTAACAAAGAGTCAAAAGAGGTTGATTTATTTATTTATTTTTATGTCTGCCTTGCCCAAAACACTGCTGGTTCAATGTTAGAAGTCGTACCTTTGAGAGCAGCTGGAGGAGCCCGAGGGACTCCTGGTGGGGCGGGGGCAGGTGGGAGATGGGGCATCCATTATCCAGCGTGCAGCGGAGGAGCACACACCGCCCGCCGAGGCTCCACACGGCGTTGCAGCTCGGCTCCAGGCAGCAGAACTCCCAACATCTCGCCCCGCCTGTCCCCAACGCCAGCGGGGACCAACCCAGGGTGATGACGTTGCTCCAGTGGATCCCTAGCAGCCCGCCGGTCACACGGCAGAGGTTTGCTGACACACCTGGACAGAGACGCGGTTTAAAGGTTTCACCAGTCACAATGAGCAATCAATCAATACTGAAAAATGGTTTAAGAAAAGGATGAAAGGACGTTATAAAAGAAAAGAAAAGATGGAGGACAACAGGTGGTGAAGGTTATCATCTGTATTCCCTGCAGAGAAAATCTACAACCAGTTTAGTCTTGCAAAATAATCTGCCACATGAGACATCTTAGATTTGACCTTCCCCAGGCTTTTTTTTTTAGATTTCCTTGTGTTTTTATCAATCAAGGCATTGTTTGGTATTCATGGCATTGTCAAAGGCAAAGGGGCAAAGTGAAAGCAGCAGCTCATTCCGCTCTGAACTTGTGAGACTTTTTTCACAGATTGGATTCTCTGCAGAAAGCTGACATGCAGCCTCGGTGTGAGCAGTCAGCCAAGTCAGCAACTAGAAAGAGGAAGTGAGGCTTTTCCCTGACAAAACAAGACGCTGATTAAAACCCAAAGCACAGTACGCAGTACAGAACAAAAAAAAACAAAAAACCCATCCTCTGAGCCAGACCTTATCAGACTCATATCAGCAGAGATGGGAGCTGCTACAGTTAACAAGAAGCAATGCCCCATGGTGGTAAAATCAAGCTTCAATCCATTCATTGTCCCCCCATTCATTGGGATATCAGGATGAATGATGTCAAGCCAAGCTTTCATGCCAGCACTCAGATTGGTTTCTTATAATAAAAGGGGTCGAACTTACTGGCATCTCCTGTGGGTAATACACTTACTATTGACAAGTACCTCATTCAACCCCACTTCAAAAACTCTGAACTATCCCTTTAAATTGTCTCAAAAAGCTAGTTACCAATAACTGTGGCTGCCATGGCAACACCAGACCTAAGACTGACTTTATATGAGATGTTAGTGTGACTTTAGGCTGGGAAAACTCACAAACAAAAACACACAAAAGCATTACAGTTTGTGTTGGGAAAGGACTCTTTGGCCTCTATTTGGTCATCCCAAACCCTTGTTCGCTCTGTCCCCCACCCCTCAATACACACACACACACACACACACACACACACACACACACACACACACACAAATGTCTACACACAGAGCCCCTATTGTCCCGTTTCACATTGTAAACCCACGGAGCAGAGTGGCATCAGAGAAAAGGCACAAATACACACTGTGACACACACACTGACACACACACTGACACACACACTGACACACACACTGACACACACACTGACACACACACAGTAGGGGTGCCAGTAGTCTTCTGTCTCTGTGCCTCAGAGTAGAAAGACAGTAAACAACAATTAACCTCCTAAAAGCAGGAGTCATAGTAAGATTCTGAGACGGATGAAGACCCACCCTGAGTAATCAAAGGCGTGTGAATCCAAAGTGCTGGTATCGTTCACAAACACACACACATTTCCTTATCAGTTCTGTGGCAATATTGAGATGGCGGTTTACTTTACCTGTGGGAGGAGCCAGGAGCAGGAGGTAGGTCAGCGGTAGGAGGAGGACTTGAGGTAAGCTCCAGGTAAGCAGCTTGCGATGTGCATAGGACATTTTACACAGAGACCAAGGACCTAGAAAAGGAAGGGAAACTCTATTATTGTGTTTTTATTTATTTATTTATGTAATTCAACAGAAGTGTGCAAGCAAGGCAGAGTACCTTTACAAGAAAACATTAAATAAACAGCAAGATACTTTTGGAAATATGGTTATTTGATTGGTTGGCGAGTGTTATAGAGACTACAATGTACAGCTCAGTATGGCCCGGCTTCATCTGAGGGGATAGATTTTGGGATTAACCTAAAAATTCCTGCACTGCCCTTTTAATAACAACAATTCAAAAATATTTCATCCTTTCACAGATGTTCCAACTTTATTTGAGTGTGTAATAGTTTTTCTACTGCTTAAAACAACTTCAACACATTCATGCATTATTTTACAAGCTCACAATCTTTTGGATCCTCATTTGCCTTCACATCTGCCCAGCTGAGTTTTAGTACCAGGCATTTTTCCCTAACATTTTATTTCCCCTGCAGAAATACCCCCTCAGAGTTGGCATGATTCCGAGCTCATTGTTTCAGCGGAACTGCAAGACGTCTAATTAGATTCCTCAAACATAGAACTGTGTGCACCTCATCATTTGACCATGATGCGGTTTTCGCTGGCTGCCATCTTTTTAAATATTCATCAAGTGAATAAAAACAGACTTGTGCTCCTCATAGATGGTGGTTTGTTATAAAAAACAAAAAAAACAAAAACAGGTTTGTACAGGATGTCCTGTGTTATACATTTGAGGACCTAAGTGACTCATCTGTGTTCTGCAGGGTTTGACTCCATCTCTTACAATCGGTTTGGCTTTAAAGAGGGGATACTATTATTTTTTTTAAATTATCCAAACGTTCTATCCAATAAAAACAGATTATTCTACGCAAGTGGACATGAGCTGACAAAATTCATGACTATGCAATTGCTATATATAGGGTACCAGCGCCTGCAGCCAATTAGCTTAACAAAGCTTAAAATGGTGAACAGCTCCGTTCAAAGGAAACCACTCCAGCCTCAAGATGCTATCCAGCCCTTGAATCAAACGATGTGTTATTTATTGACTTTTACACGTGTTGGTGGGCAGATTTGTTACCTTTGGACAGAACCAGACAAGCCGTTTCCCACTGTTTTAAGTCTTCTTCTTCTTCTAAGCTACTTGTCCTTAGACACTAGAGCTGCTCAACAAAGTTTAATTTTCTAAAATTAATTCAACCTACAAGGTGTGATATCAATGCTGGTAAATGCACAAAAATGTAGTCATTAAATGTAAATGTATTATATTATATGTTTAAAGATTGTTGGGGTTTTTTGTCCACTAACATACAGTAGGATGACAATCAGTTTTCAGACTTCTCTCGTCTACCATCTGCCTCACACATCTCTGCAATAAAATAATAACAATTACCACATTAAAGCAACTGAATCCACAGATTGTTTACTCAAATACCTGCCCAAACGTACTTCAAGCACGTCTACCAAAACTGTGAACACCCCATGTTTACCTTTCCTCCCGGCGAGGCGGTGGAAGAAAGAGAGAGAGGGAGCGAGGGAGTTAGGTCGGCAGCGAGGTGCTGCGAGGTGACGGGTGAAGACGGGTCAACACCAGCTCTCTAAGAAAAAGATCCAACATGGCCGCCTCCGAGGCCTTCACCGGCTCAGCTGCTCAAACACTAAACTGGGAAGTACAAGGAAAGGAGATGAAAAAGGGATTTAAGATGTTGTTCTTTCATAAAAGGAAGAATAAACATGTGGTCATAAATTCTGACTTAAATCATGACTTAAAGGGGATCAGGATTGTGATATTTAAAATGTTCTGTTGTCCAAATGAATGATTCCAATCAAAACAGAATGAGTTTTTTCACATAGACACAGTCTGATTATAATGCATAAAAGTACAGAATAGTTATCAGGATACATTCTTTTGATGACGGCAGCAGTTTCCCCTCCATTTGATGAATTGTGCTTCTATCTTTGTCAGAGTAGGTTCTCAGTCATCCAGGTCATGGTTAATGCAAAGCTTGATCCAAAGGCCACTGGACTTTAACCCATCCTGTTGCCTTTGGATCAAGCTTTGCATCCCTCTATCTTCCCCTTGACGAACAAAAGCGCTTCAGCCCTTGAAACGAGCACAATTTGAACCACCTCTAAAAACATCAACCGGATAAGAAAATGTTATGCAAATCAGATTCAGATGAGAGACGCTCTGCAGAGAGAGCAGAGTGCAGGAATCCTTACAATAAACACGTCTGTGACATATTGGATCTAATAATACAAACCAGTTTAAACCTTTACAGAAGAATTCAAGCCTTCGGTTGTGCTTAAAACAAAGACAGAAATATCGTCTGCCTGAGAGTTGTGGAACAAATAGAACAGGTCGGTTTAATCATGCAATTATCCTGTTGACAGTGACATGACTCACACACTCCTTTGAAGTGTCGGCTGAAGGAAAGACGTTAAAACAAGTAAATCAACATACTTAATCGACAGGTATCTAATCCCTTTGCGATAGGAAAAGGTAGAACTCAACATGTTATGTAATACATGCAGTCATCACCAAGCAATGTCTTTTCATGTAGCATAACGTCCCATTAATGTTTAAGAACGTGAAAATGAGAAAGAGCTTGAAATGTGCGCGACACTTTTGAGTACTCCTGTATGCAGAATTGATCATCTCTACCTCTGGTATCAGGTCATATTTGTCTCTTATTGTTCAACCATCACAGCAACCAATCACTACACAGCAGTGCTACCATAAGACTGTTTCTCTCTGTGCAGTTGTTTGACTTCTTTGTGACACTATTTGAGTTGGTCTCTCAGTCTCATCTGAAGTGGGATGCAAAGTTACGCTATCTTGCTCAAGACACAGTCACAAGGAGTTAACTTCTTCATGGCTCAGGAATCCCTTTCCTTTCAGGAAGTGTGAGGAGGAAGTTTCTTATCTTAACAGTAATTGGGAGTGAAAATAAAAAGTCATGCTTACACGCTGAATGAGTCACAAAAAAGCAAAACAACAAGCACACTGTATCATGGAAATAGTTGCCATGTTGTTCTGCTTGCATAAGAATCTATTTTTCTTGAGGTTCAAAGTCAAACTTGAGCTGGTGATTTGAAAAGAAATGGATGGAGTTATAAGTCTGAGTAAAAGAGCCACTCTGCACTTTTTCCCCCCCTCATGCAAGTTCCTACAGCACAAGGGGGATGAAAAAAAAAAAGAGTGGTTAGGGGGGCGTGAACAGTGCTGGTCCTGGGACACTGTGTTCAAGATGTGTGCAGACCTCTTATCCACAACGTCTCACCAGGAGGATACTATGGCGCAGAATGGTTATAAATCAAGGAGCTCTCACAAGCACATGCTGAGCAGACAGTCTGCAAACGTTATCCAGGTGTTATATATATACATATATACACATATATCAGTGTGGATGGAGAAGAAAAATGGAAGGTTTTCCTCCATTGGTCAGCCGTTAGAAAACATGAAGATGGTGATAGACTTTGCAGAAGTAGTGCTTTAGTGCGAGCCATCACAGCCTGAGAAAATCTACAAACCTTCAAGATGTTAAGAATTCAAACACAGCACAGAGGTTATAATGAAAAAATGAAGCTCTGCAACAACTGTGATGAAGCGCTAAAAATATCTTTGACAATAAAAACTGATAATGAATGTTTTGCCCAAGCAGTGAGGGAGTTATGTCTACAGGGCATCATGACTTTAGTATCCTTATCAGGCTAAAGCTTCCCTTCAAAAACATATTTTTGGAAATCTGTGTGATAGGTTGAATGTGTAGCTCCTCTAACACACAAAGAAATGTATGCCGGGGGTAGTAGAAGTTACTACGTCTTCCTTCATTCAGAGTATATCAGTATTGTCATCAGCATGATGTTAAAGAGTTGAAATCATTGATCAGTAAAATGTTCCCTGAGAGTGTTCAAGCTTTAACAGCTGCTTTAATATGCACGCTGCATGTTTTCACTTTTGTAGTTTCAGGGTTTCATGTGTTTGTGAGTTTATGAAAACAGCTAGCACAACATGTTGTCTTTCTTCTAATTTCTTCTCAGGCTAATTTCAATCAATCAATCAATCAATTTTTATTTGTATAGCGTCAACTCATAACAAGTGTTATCTCGAGACACTTTACAAAAAGCAGGTAAAAGACCTTACTCATTGTTATGTTACAAAGATCCGGCCTATCCGTCATGAGCACTTTAGCAAAGCAGCAAAAGTTATTTTAAGGAGGGAAAATGTGCTGATTAAAAGTAATGATTTCAATTTAATAATGTTGTCTGGACCTAAACTGGACTAAATATTAAGTTATTAAAACTAGACAACAATCAGGAAAGGTAAACATGTCTAACAGCGGACTAAAACTGATGTGCAATTTTGTCTAAATACTAAGTGTGAAAAAGCTGCCAAATTTAACACTGCTGCAAAAGGAGTCCTTCATTGTAAAACGACGGACATCAATACTGAATTTAGAATGAAGTCCCCTTCATAACACACGTTCTTACACACTTACATAACAAGAAGTTATGTCACAAACCTGTCGGATCTTCCTCCATATGTGAACCTGCATTCCTGCATATGGATGCCTGAGCCCCAGCAGCTTCCACCTGTGCTTCAATCAGATGCTTAGTGAGAACCAAATCCACAGCCACTCATCTGTCCTCCTGCACTTGCTTCTTTTGTCTCTCCAGGTGAGTCCCCCTCCCCCCCCCGCCCCCCAAAAAAAAATAGTCCTGGGTTAAAGTAATCCACACGAACAACTCGAGGATCTCAGTTGATGAACTCACCACATAGTAGATTGATTTTTCTTCTGCGCAGTGAATTCCCACAGTCTGGTGGTGACATGGAGTGTGTGCAGCAGCGGTAATTCTCAGGTGCACTCGGTCATCTGGGCTGATGACAGCTCGGCCATTATGGACTTTTTCAAATGGTTACTTTTTCCCTTGAGAAACTTCTGCAAGACAATGAACTCTGTCACCAAAAAAACCCTCTTATACCCCAAAAAAAGGACAAGCTCTCTCTCTCTCTCTCTGATTCTCCGCCTCCTCCTCTCTTTGGCTGTTTTCTTCCTCCTCTTGCTCGCTCACAGTTGCTGCAGTCAATAGCCCACTTGTCAGCTCTGTATTGGCTTCTATAGGCAGACAGGTTGGTGGAGGTTCCTCTGTAATGACACCAAGTCCCACGCACTGTTTTCTTCTGGCTGCGGCACAGAAGGAAAGTGAAGTTGGTTTTATATTTCTCTCCGAGGCAGCAGAGTCCTTGAAAAGCAAAAATCCAACAACGCCAACCCTCTCATTATCGTGTGACAAGTACAGAAACGTAGAAGCTTACGGTTACAACTATTCTACTGGTGCAACACAACTATTACAGCATTGCAATTAAACCCTCTATTAATGTAACAGGAGGTCAAAAAGGTATGAACTAATCATTCGGCTATTGTGGTTTAACCTTACAACTGAATACAATTAGCAGTCCCCATGTCTAATTCATTGCACCTCTTTTTGTGTGACAGTATCTACACTGTATTGTTGGCAATAGAGATTAACATTTGCTTGCCTATTTGTGGAGTTGCCACGTGTTGTTTTCTCTGCTACTTGAAGTCACTTTCTGTAATTTAATCTTCTCATTTTGGTTACTGATGGATGAGCCTGTTTGGACTCCGTGTGTGTGTCATGTTGCAAGTCAAATATCAGAGAATATTTAACTCAAATGACAACCAGATAATGAGTGGACGAGTATAAAATATGAAAACCAGTCATCAACATTAAACGTGTACTTGTGAGAGCTTAACGTACAACATCAACCAGTTTAAACCGGATATTACGATTTTGAAGGGCTGATACTGATATCATTTTAAAGAGGACAAATGAATCTATTACTTTTAAGTCATCCGATATCTAAATGTTTGGATAACAGAAGGTTTTTTTTTGTACATTGTGATATGACTCTAAATCATAAGGAAGGCTTCTTCAAAACAATCCACTATAAATATCTTTAGTTTTATAAATCATGAATGGTCCCAAATTCTAGCGTCTCATCTGCAGATAGTGGTGAGAGTATTGAAAACATGCGGAGATGTGATGTGATTACATCATTTACAAGTCACTGTTTGTTTTTTTTAATCACGGGACACATCAGAACACACAAGCTATTACCAAATCGATTTGTGAGAAGCCGTATCGGCCCCGATATTATCAGCTATCAGATCATATTGGTCCGGCTCTAATTAAAGGGGACTTTTTGGATCGTTCTCAGATTTATAAAAGAGCAACACTTCAGGCGTTTGGCTTTGTCGGTTTGGAACTTTAACTTGATCAAGGCGGCTGTGGCTCAGTTGGTAGAGTCGTCGCCTCTCAACCTGGGGGTTCGATCCCCAGCTGAGCAACATGTCCGATGTGTCCTTGGGCAAGACACTTAACCCTGCATTGCTCCCGCTGCTTCAGTGGCGGTGTATGAATGGGATTAGTGTTGTACTTACTCTCTGATGTACGTCGCTTTGGATAAAAGCATCTGCTAAGTGAATTGTAACATTTTTATTTTTGTAAAGTGATGATTACATTTATTACACAAAGGGGGGGGGACAATCATTGAGATAATGGGTGGATAAATCCTGCTCCATATGATCGATTCTTACAAAGTGGGGATTTTCTGACAGATTAATTAAAGTGCAAACAAGTGCATGACTGACTGACTGACTGACTAAGTGGAGGTCTGTCAGTCCAATGAGAGCAAGAGGAAACGCACTTTCCTGAGATATTTCATCCAAAATGGTGGGCTCTTGCAATGTGTGTCTAACCAGGCTGAAAACACACAGTCAGGTTTAATCAGGACAGGTCAGTTCATTTAATAAAGGCCGATAGTTGCAGCCTGCACTATCACAAAATTACAAACGACAGCAGGCTGAATCAATAATACAACACCTACCACCTCCTATCTGCTGTCTGTTTCTCCTTACAGTTTACACACAGCTGACCACTACTGTAACTAACATGAAGGTTTTGTGTTGAGAAGCATAAAGTATGTTACCTGTATAATCCAGGATCACCCCAGTTTCATGCACCTTGAGGCTAACAGCTGCTGGCACTCGCTTTCACTACTACACACCGTGCAGCAGGGACACGGATTCATCCTGTGTGCGCTTTTACTGACTAATTATCACGACATAATTTAACGCAGAAATAAAAGTAAAAGGACTTACAGGTGCAGTGGAATCACCCAGGTGTCTTCTGTCGGGTCGCTGCGGTGTGTTGTGTCGTCCTTGTTGTTGTCCCCTGTACTGTTAATTAGGTCAGTGTAGCTCTCGCTGGTACAGCTGATGTGACTGCGCGACCGTTGTCAAGGTAGCCGGAGTGATAATTCTACTTCCGGTTAATAGATTCAAAATAAAGCCTAACGTGACTAAACCGCTTCTTTTTTTTTTTTTTTTTTTTAAATCATCACTTTGGGCCCTTTTGTTACTGCTAACGCCAGTTTTGGGTGTAAATATGATTTAAATTAAACCATTCTGCATGTATTTTTTAAACAAATACACCCTCCAATTCTAGGTTTACCTTTACTGGATCGTTAATTAATCTGAAGTCGCCGGATATTAATACGACTACTTCCGGCAAGCGCCACCTGCCGAGTAGACGTGGAAAAAAAGCGAACGGATTCGTAAAAATTAATAAACAGTTGACCTACTTTACTTTCTTCCTGATTGAGTATAATAAAATAATAATATTAAAATGAAATAAAATAAATAAATAATAAAAATCTATTCTATATGACCTCAAAATGTAACGCGGCATCGTTCCTTTAACGTTAAGCTTACAGAGCAAAATGGCGCCTCCGCCTCACAAGTATCCCTACTGTGATTGGTTACTTGACATTGTCAGGACGGTTTTCATTGGTTACTTCAACTGCAATATTGACGATTCACTTCCGGACAGTTACTCGCGTGCTGCTTGTCGCGCCCTGAGAGGACTGTCACTAAAGTAAGTTATCTTTCGAACGTTCGTTCAAATGTTTTATGTCGTATCCATGACAACCGTTACCAAGCACCGCTGAACGGCAACGGAAAAACATGACATTAGGTCATTTTTGTAGGCCTCAGCGGGTGTTGGGTTAATTAAAAGTGTGTCAGTTTGGGCACCAAGTGCTTATTTTTGCTCCATTTTCCCCTCGCTCCTTTGTTTCAGTACCTGCGCAGGTCACAATGGCTGACAGTGCGGAGGTTGACGGTTCGCCTGTCGTGGTCCTGAGCAACCAGCCTCCTGGAAGAGAGGAGCAAGGAGCAGGAGAAGGAGGGGGAGGAGGAGGAGGAGGAGAGAGGGATGCAGGAGGAGGAGGAGAGAAGGATGCAGGAGGAGGAGGAGGAGGAGGAGGAGAGAAGGATGCAGCAGGAGGAGGAGGAGGAGGAGAGAAGGATGCAGGAGGAGGAGGAGGAGAGAAGGATGCAGGAGGAGGAGGAGGAGAGAGGGATGCAGGAGGAGGAGGAGGAGGAGGAGAGAGGGATGCAGGAGGAGGAGGAGGAGGAGAGAAGGATGCAGGAGGAGGGCTGACTGAGTCCCAGACGGAGGTGTTGGAAAGGTGTCTTCATACACTCAGACAGGCGAAAAATGACAGTCACACTTTGGCTGCTCTACTACTGGTGAGTGTTTCTCTTTCTCTTTTATAAAGTATAAAGTTAGCCAGAAAAAAATGCATTTCCACTGAGCCACAGCATCAACCATGTCAACTTCTGTTGCTGCACATATTAATACATATGTAGTTTAGTTTATTTGCACATTTTTTTAAAGAAGAATCAAACAGAAAATAAAAAATAAAAAATAAAACACATGTGCAGGTGAGGTTTATCTCTAAACCTCACCTTAAGAGATTACACAAAGTTAAAATAAAATACAGTAAAAAAATATCAAAGTAAGAATATTTACTATCACAAATAAAATGTACCCAATTTAAAGATTACATACAAACATTGAAAACATAAAAATAGAGCAAAACAGGACATACAGCATGTAGACAATATAACAAAATTAGGACAATTCACTATTCACTACAAATCTTTATGACATCAACGCATTTCTGAGTCCACGGTATCTTATTGAGTCCTCGAGATGTACGACACATCGGTAGGTATAGGTTATTGGTTTGTCTAGTTGAGTAATAGTTCACGATGTAATAACTAGCATTTAGTTGAAATCTATTAGTTGAAGTTAAATTATAGCTTCTCATAATATGGGGCCTTTATCCATTTCACATAACTGGTTTTGAGTAATTTAGTAACTTGTTTAATTAAAAAAAAGGTTGCTAAAAGAATGATTTGCATGCTGCTCTAATCAGGCTACAGACTAAAGTTATATATTTGAATTTTTACAAACATATACATTCTAAAATCTACCTTTTTATACATTTGATAAAAATGGGCAACTATAACAAAACAAACCTAGTGAGCTGTGTTGTAATTTGGTTCAGTGTAAAAGATTAAATTTGACAAAAAGAACATCTTTACTTTTACTAAGTTTAACTTATAGCAGCTGTGTATTTTAAGACAAGCTGATAAACAGGTAACCAAGTACTTCTGTGTTCTCTGTTTCTTATCTTCCTTTTGTTTATCTTTTTTTAAACACTTTATTGAACTTTGAATTTAACCCTCATCCACTGAATACTTTCTATGTTGTTCTACACTTAGTTTTTATTAATTTTCACTTATCTTATCTTAAATATTGGGTGTGTGTTCATATAGAAACCAAGTATTGAAGAATCGCCTGCTCAGCACTGACAGGTAGGGGTTGTTTTTCTCTCCTTGTCTTCAGATAACTCGCTTGTGCCCAGCAAACCAGCTTGACAAACCCACCTTGAGGCGCATCTTTGAAGCCGTGGGCCTGAACCTCCCAGCCCGGCTTTTAGTGACAGCGATCGGAGGCAGCGAGAGCTCCGGCCTACCCCCACATGAACTCCTCTCACTGGGCATGGCTCTGTTGGCTGCGCTGAGCACAGACCCAGACATGGCCTCCCATCCCCAGCTCCTCACCACCATCCCGCTCCTGCTGGGTCTTTTAGCTAATGGACCTGTGAACCAGCTCAAACAGGAACCCCGAGAACAGGGAGAAGATGAAAAGATGGGGTCGAGTAAAGTGAAATCAGAAGAGCGTGCGAACACAGAAAGTAATCCTGCTAATGTGGAAAAACCTGACGGTGAAACCAGCAAGCAAAAGGGGGATGATGGCAGCGAGGCAGTCGGAGAATCATCATCTCAAGAAAGTTCCTCCTCCTCCAAGCTAGACAAGGCCATAGCGGCGGACTGCTACCTGATCCTCACAGCTGTGTGTGCCTTACCCAGAGGTCCAGACCAGCTCCTGAGTAGGGGGGGCATTCCCGCGCTGTGCAAAGCAGTGCATCAAAATCAGACTTTCAGCCGTGAGAGGGGGCTCACCTTGCTTGGTTGCCTCCTCTCAGGTAAAACCAAAGAGAAAGCTTGGAGTAAACACCCTGCGGAACTCCTCTCTCTGCTGGTCCGGCTATCCAAAGACTTCTGCCAAGCCAGAGACCAGACCAGGCTGGACATGTGTACCCAGTTGGTGCAGTTTCTGCCCCCAGTAGGAGTGGCAGCAGAGGGTGATGAGTTGAAAGGAGGTGTGTCGCGGATATGGGGGGCATTGAGACCCATGATGCAGGCTAAGTTAACACCCAGACAGATTGGGCCGATCCTGGTCCTCAGTGCTTGTCTGCTGGATTTGTTTGGGTGGGAGTTGGTGGGACCGGCAAAGTTCTGCTGCTTGCTGGTGAACAGAGCTTGTGTGGAGGTTAGGATGGGGTTGGAGGAGCCGCCTGGTAACGACCTGAGCCCTGAGCTGCAGCACACACTCACAGGTACGTGTTCATACAGAGCCTGATTCTGAACAACTATCTGTTGGCTCTTATCAAGATTTGTGAAATACTAATGATGAGCATCCAAATCCTAACATCTATGTATATAATTCTCTTTTCAATCTAAGTTTATTTACTTCTAAAATAGTCACATTGACAAAATTGTCTCTTTAAATGTCTGAATCAGGTTGTTTGTATTTGGTGTGTATTTTTTTAAAATGTTGAACCTACACTTTATCCTGTGTGTGTCATTAAAAACCTCCTAAAGTCTCTGAAACATGAATTAGAACAGGTGTCCTCAATAGTAGCGAGGATTCTGTTTTTACTATATTTCTTCTGAAGCTGCTAAACCTCATCGAAACCTGGTCTTTGTTTTCATCTGTGATGTTGATTATTAAATGTTTTGGCTGTCATGTCTTGTCATTAGTTTTTTCATGGTGCAGTTCTGGGTCATGCATCAGGTCTAAACCAAGTGTCCTGAAACCTTGTTGGTAAGTTTTCTTTTTTTAATGAAGAACCTCCTTTTTTATAACTTCAATCTTGTCTTCCTCACCGTCCCAGGTTGTTACCGGATCATGGAGGCTGCCATAGAGCAGGCCTGCTGTCTGGGACTATCACAGACCCCTGCACCTCCTCCTCCGAGCTCCTCCTCTTCCCTCAGTCTGCAGCAGAGCAGGCAGGTCCTCGGGGTGCTGGAGGAGGCCTTCTCTGCGTTAATGTACCACCTTCAGCAGGTGAGAGGAAGATGTTTAAGCTTCTGTTTACACCCACCAAACAGCAAATTGTTGCTGGGTATGAATTAAAAAAACGACTCATTGTGCATCAAAGGTTTCTTTCTACTTCTGTGCCAAAGTATACAATATTAAGAAATAACATCGTGGTGAATAAAGCCTTTTGAATAGCTAGTCTATTAAATTAACATGCTTACAACTGGAGCTAAAGCTAGTTGCTCATTTGAAGAAAATGACTCCCTTTCTTCAAGAAATGCTTCATAAAAGTTCAACATTACAAAGCTACATTCTCTCTTTGTGCTCTGTGGCTTGGACATTGTGATGGTCATTTTTGCTGTTCTCCTTTTGAATGTACTGTTAACACTCTCCCTCTTCTATTCTTGGTCTTGTAGGTGGATCCAAGCCGCTACGGGGACCCTTTTATTTTCGCCACATTCCGCTCTCTGTGCTCGTGGCTGGCCGAAGAGACCTCCTGCCTGAAGGAGGAAGTGACTAGATTGTTACCGTTCCTGATCGGATACTCCCGCAGCCACATGCAGGGTGAGAGCGCGGAGCAGGGCCTCTCTGATTGGATGGTTGAGATGTCATTCAAAGAGGAGAAAGAAGCTTGGACGGGTAAAGAAGCTCTGAGGTAAAAATAAATAATGAAACACATCTGAGGGTTTCAAGCACAACAATACGATGAAATAAAATATCAACATGTATTCAACATGAACTCGTCTGCCTCTCTTCAGGTATCTCCTCCCCGCTCTGTGCCACCTCTCAGCAGAAGAAGGTCCCAGGAGGGTGCTGCTCACCCTCGACACTCCGGCCTTGCTGGTGGACTTTCTGTCTCAGTGCTGGACTTCCCTCAAGGGGAAAAGTGGAGCGGCATCGACCCGAGATCCCAGCATGGAGACCGCCTGCTCTGCCCTCCTGAACTTTGCTGTAACAGAGCCAGAGAGAGTCAGGTAGCTGGTTTTAAAAAAAAAGTGAAACCTTTATGTTGATGATCTCAAATTTGTTGACATTAATAACACAATGGAACTATTTATGCCTAACAGGTTATGAAAGTGTAAACAAACTTTTTTCGTTCTGTTGTCAAGGAATGACCCGTGCTTCAGAAAGCTGGAGGCCGTTCTGAGTGAAGCACTTCCTGTTTTGGTGCATAAACCTCGTCTGCTGGTCCTAGCGGCAAATTACTGCACACTGGGCTTAATGATTGGTCGACTCAAGTCAGCTCCAGCAGGTGATTTATTTTTTTCTCTCCCCCCTTCATTTTGTAAACACACACACTTGATACACATGACTTTTTTCCCGATTTGTTGGTGTAGGAGGGATGTGACAGCAGATTCAGCTGTTTTTTTTCTGATTTCTGTTGAAAGTGTTCAAACTTCGCTCTTCACAACAGAGTTTTTGAACAAACTTATCGCTTAGCGCATGTAGCTGGGTCTGCATGATGGAGAAGTTTGTCTTTATTTTATAAAAGATGGAAAATGGTGTTAGCTGTAGATGTGTCATCTAGCGCTGATGTGTTCATGACCCCTAGTGGACGAAATTCATCCAGTTGTTACTCTGAAGTTTGAAACTAACGAAACCTACTCATGAAATCTTTTGGTGACGCTACTGTGAAATGTTATTTTTATATTAAGCAATATGTTCCATTTAGATTTAGAAATGGTAACAATAAAATGTCTGTTATTGGCGGCTTCACTTCAGAAGTATTATAATGTACTGACAGTGCATTTCTTCCCCCAGGCTCAGTTGAAGCTGGACAGAGGCGTTTCTTCTCCTCAGCTCTCCGGTTCCTCCGCAGCGCCATAGACTCGGGCTCCAGCCCCGGTCCGGTTAAGGTGAGCCAGAGCTGGGAGGAGAGTTGGGACGAGGTGGAGGAGCTGTGGAGGCTGGGCCTGCAGGCTCTGGGAGGCTGCGCCCGCGCTCAGCCCTGGATCCTCACACTGGTCCGAGAGGAAGGTTGGCTCAAACACACACTCGCCATGCTGAGTCAGTGTAGCGCTCTACCTGACCAGCACACACAGGGGGCGCTGGAGGAGGCTCTGTGCGCCATGGCAGACCAGTGCCCGGTCTGTAAACGCGAGATCGGCGACATGATGAGAAATGGTAAAGGAGCTTTGAGCTGTATGAGGAGCCTGAAGAAGTCGGTCGGAGTCAAGTAAAAGGAGCTCACTGAGGGAATAGAGTTAAAACAGACGTAATAAAGGAGGGCTGTTACTAAAGCCAAACTTGTGTGTTAATTATTTAAACCAATCAGACGCCACTGATGTGTCGCCCATTGTCCCAGAGCTTCTACTGAGGAATATCTAAAACCAAAACATGAACCTCTTTTTCAAGATTATGATGTGTTTCATCCAGTGTATTCAAATGTAAATGTTTGGCAGCTGTGCTCTGAAGAGGTACACGCTGCCTTGTAGATCTCTGTTATGAATGCTAATGCCTTTAATAAAGAGCTATTTTGTTAGAAAACCAACCTGAATTCTTTCTTCTTTTTTTGTATCATCTTCCAGCATTTAGAATTTTTGCCAACACTTCTTGAACATTTCTACGGAAGCCCAAAGAGGTCATACAGTACATCCATACGTTTTATTAATTCCCTTTTCTCATGATAATGAGTATCAGCTGGTTGTTTTCTCGAGGTTTCATCTTTTTTTATGTTGCGATATCGAAGCTTGTTTTCTCAGAACAGGATGATTTTTTAATTATTTTTTATCGTGGTGACTTGCAGTGACACAAACATTTCAACGAGTAATGGCCGCTCTCCCTCCAGGAGCCACACAGGACGCCACATTCCAGATTGATGCTAATCATGGAGACAAGAAGATGAAAATATTTTAGGTGTATTGGGTTTTTTTTTTTTGTACTTTATTTTGTTGCTTTACAGACGGGGAAACGCTCTTCTAACAAAACAGCAGCTGTGGTGGCCAAAAGCTGCTTCTGTTTGTGATCAATCTCAGGGAGGAATTAACTGAAACCTCTGGATCTACATGCAGTGTCTCCAGCCTCTGTCGAACCTTGTATCATGTGGCTTAAGATGTTTTCTGATGTAAGAGATGACAAGAAGGTAAGTAACTGTTACTAATAGCCGTGATGCTTTCCCCCTAAATCACCACAAGATGGCGCACTGAGACTTGATTGCATCTAATGTACCTTGACGTTCTTAATAAGTGACAAAATCCCTGGAAACTAGTTAAACAGCTCTGTATCATTATTTTGAACTATTACATGCAACAACTAAAAATAATAGAGAGGGGAAAAGTACATGATAGTCATAAAAAGTGAGCAATAAGTGTAACATGGTTTCGGTTTTAAATGCTGTGCTTTGTAGAACGATGAGTTTTACCAAAGTTGCTTTTCAGATAATTGGAAATGTGCACTATTTTTAAGTTTGGAATATGTTCATTCTGATTTATATAAAAGCTTCGATTTGCTTAAAGATAGAAAATCGCTTATTTCGCCATCAAGCTGCGATTTCCCTCCTTGTTCTCAACCTCCCTCCTGCTCCATCAGTCCATGCACCAACCGTGAAAAGTTTTTAGCCACCCCAAACCGCTACTCCTGTCACCTCCCGCCCTCTTTTCTTCTTTACCCCCCCACTCCCGCTCCCCCTCTCCCTCCACACTCTACCCATCCATACAAACTCCTGCATCGTCTCTCAAACTAACTCACTCCTCTCTGTACCTTCAGCCCGTCTCCTCTCCATCCAGCGCGTCACATTAACCCCCTCAGCTGCAGCCTGACACCCAGACTCACAGCCTCCCTCCTCAGCACCAACATGCTCTGGAAATCCCGGACCAAGACTGAAGTTTTACAGGTAAAAAAAAAAAAAAAATCCACCACAAGTGTATTTTTTAATCTATTTTATTAGTGCGTTTCTTTTCTTTCAGAAGACTTATACGGATCCATTTTTTTTGCTTAAAAAGCTGCACATGGAGGGCCTATTGGGTTCGTTTTTAAGAGAAACTCAATCCAGGAAATTAAATTCAATTAAATTAAATTTTACGCGTGAACGATTCCATGTGGGGAGCATGTTTGGAGAAACTCCATCATTTAGGTGGAAAACCAAGATATCTATCTGTAACCATCAGGGTATCCGTGCGTAAAACGGCTGCGTAAAGTAGATGTTCATTTTTTCTTTTTAATTCTTATTTAATTGTGATTTATAAACGTTTATTTTGATGTAAAGGAACGCCACCGTAAAGTCCCAGATTGTGCGTAAAACCCTGGAAAAAATGCTGTGCCATTTCCCAAACGAACAATAAATGTCAAAGTGCGCTAAGTGTTATGAGTGTACTGTCTGAAACGGAATGAATATATCTCTTTAAGAGAAGTGGACCCCGTCGACCCCTCCCCTCCCCGTTCTGCCGGGCGTGCGCAAAAACCTATAAGTAGTGCGCTCATGGAGAGACAGGAGGACTCCGTGTGTGTTGTGCGCGCGTCTGTGTGTGTGTGTATATCTGGCAGCAGCTTTTCATCTGTGCGTAAAGAGCTCCGTCAAACAGAGATAAAGGGGGAAAAGTAAATGAGACGTTTGAGTTTCATGGACCGGTAAAAACAGTCTGGATTACATCTCGGAGCATTTTGGTGACATCTGTCAGTGTTTGGAAAAGCCAGCTCGTCCTGTTGAGTTTTATATTTTGTGGGAATCCAGAGAGTCCAGATGTTAATCCACACCTATTCGGCAATGGTGAGTTTGACAGAGACTTCATTTGGGGACTTTTTTTTATTTTTATTTTTTTATCACTGATGTTTGTTAATTACTTATGTAACTTTATTTGAAAGCAGTGTTTTTTTGCAGTGTGAAAATCGATGAAGAAATTGTGCAATGATTTTAAATCTCTTAAAACGGCTAATTTTTGGTCAACAAACTACCCACGATTTAATCAATGTGTTGCATTATAAGTTTATCAGCGTTCAGTGTTAAATCGTCCTCTGTGCTTTTTTCAGTGTCAGTCAATTGCATTCATCTCTGATTAAAAAGTTGCTTGTTCTCCGTTTTACTAGAATCCATAAGTGTCAAGTGTCCACACTTCCGAATGAACCGTTTTGACACCGAGTTTCGAGCTGCGGCGCGGTGCATCTGTCTGCGGAGATGCTCTTTGTCTGCGCAGTGTCACAGTGCGTGAGACCAGATGACAGTGAAGTGTCCACTCAGTGCACACACTGTGACATGCCGAGACACAAGATGGAAGAGAGTTTCTGTCCTTTAAAGCTTTAAATACAAACATTTTTTTTTGTTGTGAGAAATGGAAGAATGAAAAACAGGACAGGCACAGAGAGGAGGGTGGGTGACAGATACACTGTGTGTGTGTGCTTATGGCCTCTCTGACTGGCACATAATGGACATTGTTCAACCACAACAGCATTGATCCGGCTGACCCAGCTTTTGCAAAAAATCCAATTTAAACAGGAAGTGTGTGAGCTCAAATGTAGGCTAGTGGACTACATTGCTTTACTTGTACACGATGGGTTAAAGTCCTAAAAGTCCAAATCTCATTTTCTTCCCCCTTGTCAATCTCGGTGAACCTTTTCCTCTTGTTTAATTTTCAGTTGCGGTTTTGTTGACACCTTGACAGATTATTTACAGATGCACCCCCCTCCTCCTCCTCCTCTTCCTCCTCCTGCAGCAGCAGCAGCGTGTAGTTGTTGTGTTGGGTTATACCTGTCCCTTCCCTTTGTGCAGCTTCTTGGTGGCCGTGACCTTTCTGACACTGTTCAGCAGCGGTGCCAAGGGCGTCTTCTGCCAGTGCGCATCACTTCAAGCCAAGCTGCTATTTCCAACCCTCTCAAAATGGAATTACGTTGGTTTACGGGCTGTTTTGTGTTACACTTAAAGCGCTTGGTACATTTTAAGTGTGCGTATATAAATCCAACTTTTTCAATTACGCTACATTTTTTTAAATGTATTCATTTCCTGGAGATGGGAAGTTTCGTTATCGGACATTTAATTTGACAATGTTGTTTTGTCACCTTTTGGAAATATACGATATGAGAAAAAAACTTTTCAATCTTCCTGCAGGACCGCGCAGACGGACTAAGCGGCTCGTCGCCGAGTGGGCGCCTCTCCCAGCTCTCCTCCCTGAACCAGGCCGCCTACTCCTCGGCGCCCCCGCTCTGCCACACTCCGGCCTCTGACTTCCAGCCTCCGTACTTCCCCCCTCCTTACCCCCAGTCCTCCCTGCCATACTCCCAGAGCCAGGACTCAGCCTATTCCCACCTGTCAGACCCCTACCCCTCCATTAACTCCATCCATCAGCATCAGCAGGCGGCGTGGCACTCGCAGAGGTCGCGCTCCGATGAGGGGGGGCTCCTGTCACAGTCGCACCGGGCTCTGAGCCTCGACCCCCGGCGGGAGTATGCAGCTGTCCCTCGGCTGCTGCACGGTCTCGGGGAAGGTGCAGCCGCGCTCGGGGACGGTCCTCTCGGGATGCACCTGGGACATCACGGCCTGGATGATCTTCAGGTGACTACAGTTGTTTCTCTATTCCTGTTTTTTTATCCTTTGCTTTTTGAGATACGCAATAAAAAGACCCTGCGTAAAAGTCACCCAGTACAAGAACAGTGCGTAAAACATGAACAAAATCTATTCTGGGCCTTCTATATTCTCCCCTAATCTCCTTCTTTTATAATAACCAAAAAATATGATTAAAAAAAAAGTGCAAAATACGAGATTGCTGACATCAAGGCCTGAAGGCAATTTATAAATCAGTGTCCTTCTTTTCTCCAATGATCAAATGTCCCACAGTAAGTAAAATTCAAATTTAAATACACTTAACTAAAAAAAAGAAGAAAAAAAATCCAATAATTTGCATTTATACAGGAAGGATTTTTGCTTTTCCTTTTTAATTATTTTTGTAGAAAATTCAAGCTTACCTTTCCTTTTTAATCACAATTTCTCAGAAATGTACACACAAACTCTTTGGGCGTCTTTAATAACCAGAAATAAAACTTCAGTGCGTCTCATTCTCCAGACTTTAAAGAAACAGTGTGTCTTAAATCAGACTTTATATGTTGAATTGAGATGTCTGATCTGAAATGTGAATTTAAGTGAAATATATTTAATGTTCTCCGTAAAATTCGTTCAAAAATTAAATTAAAAAAATATATACTTGAGAACAATTCTCCGTTTTTCTTGTTTAAATTGAAAGGCCGGTTGAAAACGTTTTTATTTCATAATTGAATGTATTTTTTTTTAACTTTTTATGTGTTTGGAGGAAATTGAACACTGAGCGTAATGACTGGAAATCAAATTGTAAACGTAAATAGGGAACGCTTTTATGAGCGATATTTAAGTAATACTTTTCTGATATTTTAAAGATTTAAGTGGATAAAAACGGTGCCATTTGTCCGTCTTGTT